TATTTTATTTTTAATTAATTAATTTGATCGTTTTAAAATACATAAAATGTATCTTAAGAGTTCATACTTATTCTACTGATATAAATGATGTTAAATTTGCGATTGACTTTTCTACAATTAAATTGGACTCAAATTAAGAAAAAGAGCAATAAATGTTAATAGAGATTTCATCGAACCTTTGCAGTATTCGTTCGGCACCGTGCCGTTTAGCGGTGCCCATCGCGCGCCGGCCGATCGTCGATTTAATGTGCCGCACCTGACGGTGCGCTCTTAATGCCTTATGGTTGGACAGTTTCAACAGTTCACTATTCAAAAACCATTGACACCTCAACATTTTGCTATTAACATTTTCGACTCAGTTTTTCATGAGGAATACGTAGATGCCGGCTCCTCCGGGTGACCTGGATCACCCTGTATATACATTATTACGATCTGCTAAAGGGACAAAAAATCAGAATAGATTTATGCATATAGAAAACGCCAGTCTTAACAACAGTGCAGTATAAATACTTTTATCAGAGAGTTCGAAAAAAATCTTATCCAAATGAGTAGACTTACAAATGATACATCTACTTGTCTATCGCAACTACGTCATATCTATAGTTTTGTCTTTTTGTGTTAATTAATTAAACTGGCATTAGATTGGCAATTATTCGTGTTAACTTACACATTTTGCCACTATGACAAGTGCAAATAAATTTGGCTCAATTTCAAACCGGTATCACTCAGGATAAACTTCAGATGAGCAGATCAACAGACGTTCCACGAGTTTTTCTTCAGCAGGAAGAGATTATGCATAATGACATTTCAAGCTACAGGGTATAGATTAGATAGGTATGTGAGACTATTAAACTCCATAACACAAAATAATACAAACGAATTAACATCTAGCTTCGTACAATTTTTTCTACACGTCTTTGTAATGGCTCGCCAAAAAGTAAATAAATAAAGCTCTACATAATATTATTTGGAATCGGGAAATATGCATGCATGACATCAATATCGAGAGATAATTTAAATGGGTAATTAACTTACGATGGGAAGACGCATCGTCGATGCGGACGCAATCTGATAACACGTTGTCCGAATGTGATGTGTGATGATTGATGTCCAACATATCGTCGTCGCTACTTAGATTTGTCTCACGTCTTAGAGTCCCGGTTCGTAGTCGTACATCCTCTGTAATGTCACCATACTTTATATTCTGAAAATATAAGATTTATCAGCTATATCTACACATATCTGTCTTCGCTCAACATTATCCTTCTATCTGTTTAGCTGCGATTTAGGGACATAATTTTAGTACAAATTTTAGTACGTGATTATATAAACAAAGATATGTTAAATCATGTTTATGTATTGATAAGTAGATAAAATACATAACTTTTCAACAAATTTTAGTACATGCAATGTTAAGTGTATGTAAAATGCTTAATAAATGAGAGAAACGTATGATAACATACAGGATTATTAAGGAAATAAAATAAAGATTATTAATTTTATGAAAAGATATTGATCCAGGCGACAGGCAATGGCCTACGATATACAAAGCAAGAAGATGCAGATTGAAACTAACAACATACCTTTGCATCAACCGAATGATATGTTGTAACGGCATTTGCATTTGTATGAAGAATTGTCGGGTTCAAGGATGCTGTACCTTTCAACGGAAACTTCTCCATGGCATCATGATAATCTAATTTTACACAAGTAAAATATTACTATGCTGTCTCTCGAGAGGGCAACGTAAAGAATCGCTATCGAGACTCTACGTGGCAGAGAGAAATCGAGAGCCACAATGCCATGCACGGTACTAAATATTCTATTCACGGCCGGCACGTCATTGATATGTGGCTTTAATCGGCTTTGCTATAATCCTCTTTAATCCGCCAAGTGGATGCTATATGTGATATTTAATTAGAATAACATAATTCGTGATACAGCAAAATTACAGACTACTTAATTCGTTAGAATAGATTATACAAATGTGTGCCATACACTGTGTATGTGGTAACGAATTTGACGTAAGAGAAACATCGTTCTTCTGTCAAACTATCTCAACGATTATCTTTGCGATTTGCATCTTCTTGTTCAGAAAGAAAGAGAGATTCGTTAAATAAAAAAACCACATTGATTACACACACCATGCCAAAATGATTTTACGGCAAACTGAAACTCATTCCTGGAAACGCAAATAACACAATTTCGAAACGAGCATAAAAAGACGGACAGATAAATGAAACACAATACATTGGACTTGGGACACCATATGACAACTTTTTTCACCCCCTCGCAAAGCGTGAACATCACGAAATTCCTCTCGCGGACGATTTAAGCGTGGGAAAATATGCTGACGCAGTCATGTCCGAAACTGCGTATTTTCGAAGCTTACTTCTAAGTTTCCTCGTTACATGATGCTTCATTCCTCAAGGCGAGATGAGGTTACCTTCTCAATTTACCTCATGCGTGTCAGAGCGCCCGTGGACTTACCATTTTTTTAAAGGAAAACGTCCTCGTGTTTTATCTACAAGCATCAATCATTATGCCATGTCGCAGATTAGATTATGATCAGATCAGTTTGACAGTTCCACGATAATAAGAACTCCGTCGGAACACTCCACCACCACGTATAGATGGTACAGACCTTCTCCGCGGAGTCAAAAGGTATGTTCGTGTTGCTTACACCAGAGAGAAGCATGAGAGCGGCCATCCCGGCGTTTTTCGCGACCCCGGCAAAAGGTATGACCTCCCCCGTACACTAGCGCCAATTGCTTCCACTTTTGAGATGGAACTACTA